TCTAACCTTAAACGCTTCTAACTATTGCATTGACAGACCTGAATTTCTATATTTTTCTGTTTTATATTGACAGGTTTATCCTGGAGCTTGGACTGCTATCCTTATCTCCCTGGACAATGTCGGTGTTTGGAACCTGAGAACAGAAAACCTCGACTCGTGGTACCTTGGACAAGAAACCTATGTGAGGGTTATAAATCCCGAGCCCAATAACCAAACCGAGTTCCCAGCTCCAGATAATGTCTTATTCTGTGGTGCACTAAACAGACTACAAAGGTACACGTCCCTCCACATTCTCTGTTTTCATATATTACCTTTTTTCTCTTTATCCATTCTCTCAATTTTATATTTTTCTTTCTTCTCAGGCCACAGGATATATCTTTTGCCACGTCACTCAAGAGCAGCACGCAGAACCTATTGTTCGGTTTCGTGCTCATGTTGATGTCATTGCTGTTTTCTGCCTTCAATTGAGAAGTTCCATTAGAATTTGCATGAATGAATTCTCTCTCTCTCTATGTTGTTTGCACGGGAGCCCGACTTTTGTTTTTCTCAGTGAGGACTTGTTGTGTTTTTCGGTTAAAAGGAATTTAGGAGCATGTGTAATGCTAGTAAATTGTTGATATGATTGTTTTTAACCTCTATTTTCTCTTTGTTTTTACCCTGTCCCGGCAGTGATCATATGCTCCCGGTTTCGTTTGCTTTGTGCTTGGATTCTTTTACCATTCTTTCATCACCTTATAACTTAATTGTAATGTCGAAGATTATAATCAACTTTTCTTTCTTCGTAAACTTCGCCCTAAGTTTAGGTGTCGTCAGATTTGATTGGTCATTCTTGCTTCCATGTTTAGGTTGTTGGGTTAACATCTTTTCCAGTTCTTGAAATTCTTGTTTGAGATGATTCTTGAGTAGCTAAAGTTGATTTATCAAATTCATTCATCAGTGAAATCAGTTCATACACCTTCCTCAGAATTTAAATTCTTCCATTCATATGCAAATGCAAGGGTAATGAGAATAGATGCCCAACATGTTCTGCTTTTTTTAGTAAATTTTTATCTAATTATTTTATTGGGTGGAACATGATAGTGACAGTGCATGTGCAGGCAGATCATAGTCCATAGATATGATAACAATATGCAGACCTTTTGAGGAATAGGATAACAATCTTCAGAGGTGTCTTGATTGGATAGATAAAAAGCCAGCTTGTCAAATGCCATATTTTTTTTTTTTTATCCAATCTATTCATGTGACTGGTAACTGGTCGGTGTTTGAATAATATAGAGAAATTTTGAAATTTGAATATTGGTTGGATGACTAGATCTCAAGTTTTAAATGTGTACACATCTTTTGAATAACTTTTCATTGATGCATTCTTTCATCGAGATTCAATCCAAATCAGGATGGTATTTTCTTGGTCTAATCTTTTCACTTGATAGCTCACTTTGTATAGCTTGTGCTCGTTTAACAAATCAACTGGCTCAACTCGGCCAAATTATATGAATGATTCAAAAGCTCAACTCGAACTTGATTAGTTTAAACTCCCGCGTTAGTCGTCAATTAAAATCAAAATCGCAAACAAGATGTTGGCATTTACGATTTGTTCATTTGTGAATATGTTTGGCGTCATTTATTTGTTTGAAACTTGTATAAAAAAAAAAGAATAAAAAATAGTTTTCACAAACAAGCTCGGCTAAGCTCAGTTGTTATATTAAACGAATGAGCCAATCTCGAAAGTTAGATAGCAACTCTAGTCTCCCCAAAATTTGTATATATTTTTGTATATATTTACCTGCTTTTTTTTTTTTTTTTATCAAATACATGATTTTTCAATTGACAGTTCAGGTCAGTTTCAAAGAAAGTTATTGCATGATTAATCAGCATTCTTTGACAAATTTCTAAAATATATAGTCGTCATTAGGGGTGGGCACGGTTCGGTTAACCGAACTTTTTGAGGTATTTGCTAACCGAACCGAACCGAGCAAATATTCGAACTCGCTAACCGAAACCGAACCGAAAATCTCGGTTAACCGAAAAAAATCCTACTATTCGCGAATTAACCGAACCGAACCGAACCGAGCGAACCTAACACAAATCTGTTTGTTCGCAAATAATAAATCGAACCGAACCGAAGCGAACCGAAAACATTAATATAAATATAATATATAATATATAATATATAATATAATATAATATATATTTTAATAAAATATATATTTTATAATATATAATATATAATATAATATATAGTTTAATAAAATATATATTTTATAATATATAATATATAATATAATATATATTTTATAAATTTTAATATAATATACGGTTCGGTTCGGTTAACCGGGGTAAAAAAATCTTAAAAACCGTAACCGAACCGAATCGAGCAAATACTTCATTTGAGGTATTTGTAACCGAACCGAGTCCCCCGGTTAACCGAAAATTCGGTTCGATTTCGATTCGGATCTACGATTCAGCGGTTCGGTTCGAATTTTTTGCCCAACCCTAGTCGTCATATCCTTTTACATGTATTATTTGTTACATGTGACCTCAGACTCATTCCATTCCATATTACAACTATCATTACTTACTAGTTAATACCATTCCATATTACAACTATCATTACTTACTAGTTAATACCACTCGTTACTAGTGGTAGAGCCGCGCTGGCTGGTTCATTTGGCCATCCAAGTCTTTCATTATATTGTTTGTTGTTGGTGGTTGCACCAAATTGACCTTTTCACTTAATCATTCATACTTCTTTATAATATTTTGATCAATAGTTGATCCACAGTCTACTGATAATGGATACATGTCGATGGATATATGTCGATAGCAGAGCCGCACTTGCAGGAACACGTAGCCACTCATACTTCTTTTCATATTACAAGGGTCAATCTGAGTTCAAATGCTAAGCTTTTTTTTTTTTTTTTTTCGTAACACAAATTTAGACGTATAATTATGATAATCATAGCAATCTGTTTGAAACTACTTGAAATGCAAGTCCAAGCACCAATGTTGCAGGTAAAATTAATCATAGCATCCTTCTCAGCCAAAAATCTAATATCACTACGAACGGTTTAATACAACCACCACAAAACTTGCAATTGACAGAATTAAATGACTAATACGTTCCACAACTCATTATTTGTGCCCCCATGGAGAAAATGCAGCCATAAAGATTCACCATCCAAGCAGTAAAAGCTTTAAAAGGGCCATGCGTATATAGAGACCATTCTTTGCTTGTCGGAAGTAGGCTGCCCTCGGATCAATATCAACATCAACAGTAATCTGAAAATTGGTGCAAAGGAGAAATCCACACAATCAGTCGAAAGATAACAAAAAGATGTAAAAGCAAACAGAATAATATACAAATACTACCCTCAGAGTCTAGCATAACTATGATAAAACCCAATTCTTTCAAAATCACAAATACCAGTTGGTGTTTGCCTCGACACAAATTGCAACATCTAAAGGAGGTGGGGTGGGTGCTATTTGTTATTTTGAAAGAAAAAAATGCCATATTTTTCTTGGTAATTAAGCTTACCTCATCAAGCCTCGGCAATGGATGCATTACGACTGCATGTTTTTGCATCACATCTAAGACATCTCGATTCACAATGTACTTGCCTCGGGCTTCTTCATAAAGATCAATTCTTTCACCAAATCTTTCTCGCTGAATACGGGTCTGATACACCACGTCACATTTGGAAGCCACCTCAATTAAATCCCTGCTCTCTTCCCATTCAACTCCTTCGTATGTAAGATAACTTTTTATGTCATCCTGTAATTACAATTGGAAAAATAATAATTCTGCTAAGTTCTTTGACTTATCAGGAATAGTGTCAGCTTGAGTCCAACTTTCATTGGAAATCTTATATATCGACATGAATTCTGAAAAAGGAATTTTTGGAAAATAATTTAAGTCTTCATTAGGAATTGGACACCTTGTACATAGGACCATAGTGTAGGAGTACCTTCATTTTCACTACTTCGGGTGCCACAAAGTAGATTTTAACATCCTTAAACTTGGCGAGCAAATAGGCGAGCGAGCGGACAGTCCTTCCATAAGCAAGATCTCCAACGAGTCCAACTTTGATGCCATCAAGTTTCCCTATCTCTCTTTGAATTGTGTACACATCCAGCAAGGCCTGAGATGGATGTATAAAAAATTAAAAATATAATAAATAACATAAATATTACACCACGTCCAAATAATGTCATCATATCACATATAGCCTTTACTTTCATGATCTTTGTATCATATGTCCACAAGCAGGTAAGCATAGAGAAGCAACACAGTGAACATAATTATATCAGGTTTCACTTACTTGCACTCAGCCTCTTGAGTAAACATACATAAATCAGGGCATAGAAGGAGCGGATAATGGACTTAAATAGTAAAGTAGGGACATAATAGTAAGAATTGGAACTACAAAACAAATAGTAAGATAATAAAAGATACAGATTTATACATTTGAGATACAAATTACATAACGAAAAATCATCCGGCAATAGATGGGCATAAGAAGGAAGACAAGGGTTCTACTGCAGCAGTTTGCAACAACTATAACTGCAAAATAGTTTTCAACTAGCTATACCAAGGCGTTGAGAGAGACCCACTTCATAAGAAATTCGAACAAGGTTCATAATTCGTCAGTTCATAATTAAAATCCAAAAACCAGTTCGATAACTGACCCTATGAATGCAGATAGAGAAAAAAAAGTCCAGTCACATACACGATATCGTCAGTTGAAATTTTTATAAAAACCCACCAACATATGAGCCATGATTTTATAGATATTACTGCAAGGAGATAACGTTCTTTTCATTTCTCTTTCTCCTTATAAGGCTCAGGTTTCAGTACTGCAGTTCTGTTTTCATGAGATTCAGATGCAGAATGATGTAGAGAGAGAGAGAGAGAGAGAGAGAGAGAGAGAGAGAGAGAGTCTACAAACCTGAGTTGGATGCTGTCCTGGGCCATCTCCAGCATTAATAACCGGAATACCAGCTGTGCTTGCCGCCCTTCTAGCAGCACCACTTTCGAAATGCCTCATCACTATTATATCAGAGTACCCTTCCACCGTTCTTATAGTATCTGAATGCAATATAAACTTCAAGATTAGCATGTCGTCATCATCGTCATCGTCACGCAGACTCGAAATACATAAACTTATAAACCAAGATATCTACCTTCAAGGGTCTCCCCCTTTGCGGCCGATGAGAACTCTCGTGCATTCTCAGTGGTCAAAACTTCCCCACCCAAACGTTTCATGGCAGACTCAAATGAGAGCCTGGTCCTGGTTGAGGGCTCGTAAAATAAGGTGGCCATCAGATAACCTTTAAGAATTTGGCTCTCGGGCGAGTTCTTCTCAACCTTCTCCATCTCAAGTGCAACATCGAATATGGAAATCAGAGTTTCCCGATCAAACTGCTGGGCCTCGATGATGTCCTCGAGTTGAAACTTCTTCCCTTGTGAAATGGAAGGCTTGGTCTCAACCTCTAGAGCCCGGCATTTGAATCCATTCATGAGAGACAACTTTGAGTGTGATGTGCCGGTAGATGCAGCTATAGATGCAGCATGATGTGTTTGTTTAAGAGGACAGCCGTTTAGATGATTGCAGATATACTCAGTATAGTTCTTGGTTGCCTTAGGGGTAAGTATACTTCTGCTCGATGCCCACGCAGGAAATGTGGAAGAAGACGACATTACAGCGACAGAGCAACCTGATACGACATTCTCATCCTATTCAGGTTAATTTAGATTTATATTTTTATAAATCCAAAATAATGAGTAGAATATATATAAAAAGAAAACACTCGTGTTTCACTGAATACTGATATAACTTCAACTAGACCTCTTGAAACTGAATCCGCAAACACACACAGAATTAAATTTAAGTACTTAACTAAATCTTTTCCATTACTTTACGAATACACCATTTTTTATGGGGTATATCACTCTGACGGGGAGTCCTTAAACCATATCCTAAGTATCACACATCTCAACAATAAGTACAAATATGCAATCATTCATTTAACACAATACACAAGTATTAGCACCAACTATGCCACTGAATGCTTTTGAGCTTATTACAACAAGTCATAAATTAAAATTGACAAAAAACATCAAGATATTCAATCTTCTCTATAACCTACTTACATTAATTGAACAATTCAGTGTTTGTGTAACTCACTAACTTGATCAAGTCCAGACTAACAGCAAAACTCATACTTGCTAATAGCGTAGTTGTTCTATCTATATCATAAACTATCGGATTGCGTGTTACCTCGGTCTTCGGGTATCTGCCTACGAACTCCTCTTCATATGCTTACTTCCACAGATTCAGTCCATTAAATTACATAACCTTGGCTTTCAACAATATATATTTTAGCGTACAAGATCATGGTTCTTATACATGCAAAAAGGTACAATTTCTGTTATGAGGATAAAAATATCATGTTCGCCTTTGAGCTCGTGTAAGAGCTTGAGAGCCCAAAGACAATGTGCATGCATCATAAAGTCCAGCAAAAGAAAGAGAAAACACTGAAGTACCATTATAAAATGAACAGGGCTCGTGTAAGATCTTGATAAATTCAACTGAAGAACTTAAGCTCCAAAGTCCATTTTGTCATCATTCTTAAATCAATACACAATTTGGCGAGTAAATTGCTAAAATCACTAGAGTAAATTGCTAAAATCACTAGAAAAAAAACTTTTGAGAATTTCTCCACATGAAAGTAAACTTGCACAACCCGAATGAGTGAACATAAATAGAAGAATATAAGCACGACTAAATATCAATTTGCTAGGGAGACCTTATATGTGTGTGAGCACCAGATTGATATTGAAAATCCATGGAGAGCTCAACAAAGGAATCATTTGAATACAGGATGTGGGTAATGGTGAAGGAGAGGCACAAAGAAGTATAGCAAATGTAGGTTTTCAGCTTAAAATCACTCAGGTCACATTTTCTCCATTTCATATTATTTTTTTAGTGCAGCAGGCATGGTGAACTCCTTTCTTCACAACAAAGATCACAACAGAAGCACATTATATTTTGTTTCCTGAATGCACTGCAAATCGTTATGAATGGGATTGGTAAAATCATTTTGTGCAATAGAATAGTAATTTAGTTATGACAGGCAAGTATTGTGTCGTCTAAGACAATAAGGGTATGTTTGTATAAAAAATATTTCAAAAAAATTTCAACATTTTAACTCAACCATTTTTTTTAACCAAACTTTAATTTAACTCCACTATAATAAATATTATCAATATAATTAAATAATATCAATCAATCATTCATACGCACCACATCAACCTTAATTCACTATTCATCCACTTACATAATTTTAAATAACCATCACTTCAAATCATCGCTCTCCTACTTTTACATCAAAATAATTTTAAATATTTTATTTTAAATATTATTTTAATATACCACTAAGGCAGTAACAACTAACCATACCACCTTTTTCTAAATTAACCAAATCAAACCAAAAAATCCAACAACACCAAAAAATTTTATATCCAAACATGCTCTAACCTTTGGGTCAATTTGACGAACAATCTAAAGGCAAATTCAAACGAACAACAAGGGAAGCCCAAACTTAGAATAGATATTGACAACTGAATGAACAAAAAAAAAAAAAACCTTAGTTCTTGATGCCTGGACGTCACTTAGGGCTTAAGCTGCAAGTTTAAAAGAGCTCCGGATGGGTGCTAGCAGTTAGCACCAAGGTTTTGAGAACCTGTGCTCATCAAATATATAAAACTATTAGTTTAATGCTTCACTAACCGAGCCAATTTACCCTGTTAAACCGATATTTAATTATTAATATTGTTAGACCAACATATACATTCACTTAAACAACCACAAGTTCACAAAGAAGAATGAGGGGAAAACAGGAATCCTTTACACAGTGCACCAAATTCCCAATGGAAAATAAAAATCTACAATTTTGTGTGATTTTTGTTAACTGTTAAGCACCTCAAATCTGTACAAGAAAACGGATAAATATACAAAAAAATAAAGACAAACATGCTTTGGAGGTGCAGTCCGTAGACATGTCAAAACAGGCCAGCACCAAAACCCGCCGTTTTGCGGGCCGGGCCGGACCAGGCCGCAGCCCGTCAAAACCCACGTTCAGCAGGCCGGGCCTGGTCCTGTGAAATGGTAGCCCGGCCCAACCCCGCCACGGGTCGCGGAATAGGCGGGCAGCCCGCCTCATGAAGATAAAAAAAAGTACTAAACAGTGACCATTGTTAGCATTGTTAAGCCTGGTGCTGGGAACAAATACAAATGCAAA